CGCAGAAGGCCGAGACGACGGGGATGGAGATCAGCACCAGCCTGGGCCGCCCTCGTCGTGTGCGGGTGCGGGTGAAGCGGCAGAGATGACATCGCTGCCCGCGGATGCACTCGGCCATGCTATACATGTCGTCAGTGGATTTCGTGCATGCATGACATGTTGTTATTTTGTTCGTGAGCTCGACGGACTGCTGCGCCAGCTTGGGAAGGAGTGCGCAGGGCACCACATGAAAAGGCGACAACGCAGGACGCGTTCGACGGCAGCGGCGTGATTAGATTCTTCAGGGGCTGGACCCCAAGTCGAGGCAGCGTCGGCCTGAGTAAGTGATGACACAGCATGCTTTTGGTGCTTGCGGTTTGCTTGGTGCCCTGGTGGGACTCTGAAGGTTCGTTGCAAGGGGCCCGCGGCAGAAGCCCCTTTTGGCTGCCCTTGTTTGCGGATATGCACGCTTCGCGTGACTGGCGTGTGCGTGCTCTTTTCGCGTGTGGGCCTTGGCGTGGCGGCCTCCTGTGCTGCTGTCATGCAGGGCTCGCGCCGGCATATCTTTCACGCTTCGCGTGCTTGTCAGTGTGTTGCACGTCGGCGATGGTCCTCCTAAGTCGAGTGATGTCGATCTTCTCGTGCTGCCCACGCTTCGCGTGGTCTAACTTGGACTGTGCTGGCGTTTCGTCCGTGCTCGCCCGAAGGGTGTGCTCCGCCGTGCCTTTGCTTGGCGTGGGCAGCGGGGCCCTGCCGTAGCCTTGCATGGTTGATCGGGCCGAGGGGCTCGGTTGGGAGGGGCCCTGGTGGATGTCGTGTGTACAGCTTGGCTGTGCACACCTGCACGGTCAAAAAAACGCACACCCGCACACACGCACACACGCACACACGCACACACGCACACACGCACACACGCACACACGCACACACGCACACACGCACACACGCACACACGCACACACGCACACACGCACACACGCACACACGCACACGCGCACACGCGCGCACACGCGCACACGCGTACACGCGCACACGCGCACACGCGCGCACGCACACACGCACACACGCACACACGCACACACGCACACACGCACACACGCACACACGCACACACACACACACACACACACGCACACACGCACACACGCACACACGCACACACGCACACACGCACACACGCACACACGCACACACGCGCACACACGCACACACGCACACACGCACACACACGCACACACGCACACACACACGCACACTCGCACACGCGCACACGCGCACACGCGCACACGCGCACACGCGCACACGCACACGCACACGCACACGCACACGCACACGCACACGCACACGCACACGCACACGCACACGCACAGACACACAGACACACAGGCACAGAGACAAACAGACACACAGACACACACACACACACACACACACACGCGCACGCACACGCACACGCACACACACACACACACAAAACACAAACACACACACACACACACACACACACACACACACTGTGTGTGTTTTCTTTATGTGTGTGTTTTTGAATTGTTTTTGTCTGTTTCTTCCCCCAAACAGCTTGCTGAACGGGGTGCTGTTGTGATAGAAGCTAACTCCGGCCGAGGGAAGTCGGAGCAGAGACATCCTAACACAAATTTGATGGTCCGGGCCGTTTCGCTTGAGACATCCTCACGACTCACTCTCGTTTCTGAGTTGGCCGGGATTGGCCGTTTCGCCTAAAACATCCTCGAAAAGTTGCGCTCCGGGACGCCGCGCGAGAGGTGGTCCGGGCCGTTTCGCTTGAGACATCCTCGAAACTCTGAGCCCCGAGGTGCCGTGCGAGAGGTGGTCCGGGCCGTTTCGCCTGAGACATCCTCGAAACTCTGAGCTCTGAGATGCCCTGCGCGAGGTGGTCCGGCCCGTTTCGCTTGAGACTTCCTCGAAACTCTGACCTCGGAGATGCCGCGCGAGAGGTGGTCCTGCCCGTTTCGCCTGAGACATCCTCGAATTTCTGAGCTCTGAGATGCACTGCGCGAGGTGGTCCGGCCCATCTCGCCTGAGACATCCTCGCAACTCTGAGCTTTGAGACGCCGTGCGCAAGGTGGTCCGGCCCGTTTCGCACAAGACATTCTCGCAGCCCTGAGCTCCCAGATGCTGCTCAAGAGGTGGTCCAGCCTGGGGGCCCAGAAGACCACATGTTACATATCCTCCCTGGGACCCTGGGAGCCCGCCTGAGACATCCTCGAACTTGAGCTCTGAGATGCCCTGCGCGAGGTGTGGTCCGGCCCGTCTCGCCTGAGATATCCTCGCACATCCGAGCTCTGAGATGCCGTGCGCAAGGTGGTCCGGCCCGTTTCGCACAAGACATTCTCGCAGCTCTGAGCTCCCAGATGCTGCGCAAGAGGTGGTCCAGCCTGGGGGCCCAGAAGACCACATGTTACATATCCTCCCTGGGACCCTGGGAGCCCCAGGAGGCCCCAGAGAGCTCCAGGAGGCCGCAGGACGCCCAGGACAGGCCCCAGGGGTCTCCAGGAGATTCCCAGGAGGCTCCCAGGAGGCCCCAGGAGGCCCCCTATCAGAACGTTTCAAGTTAATACACATCTGGTGCCGATTCGTTGATTTTTCCTGCTCTTGTGCCCCCCCGTTCATTTTGAGAGGCCCAAACGGCCACAGGTTATATTCCCCCTGGGAGCGCCAAGAGGCTTCAGGAAACCCCAGGTGGAGTTCAGGAGGCGCAGGAGGCCCAGGAGGAAGCCCCAGGAGGTCCCCAGGAGGCCCCAGGAGGCTCCAGGAGGCCCCCGCAACTCGGAGCTTTGAGACGAAGCGCTCGAGGTGGTCCGGCCCGTTTCGCTGGAGACATCCTCGCGACTGGGCTCCGAGATCCCCTGCGCGAGGTGGTTAGGCCCATCTCGCCTGCGACATCCTCGCAACTCTGAGCTCTGAGATGCCGTGCGCAAGGTGGTCCGGCCCGTTTCGCACAAGACATTCTCGCAGCTCTGAGCTCTCAGATGCTGCGCAAGAGGTGGTCCAGCCTGGGGGCCCAGAAGACCACATGTTACATATCTCCCCTGGGAGCCCCAGGAGGCCCCAGAGAGCTCCAGGAGGCCGCAGGACGCCCAGGACAGGCCCCAGGGGTCCGCAGGAGATTCCCAGGAGGCTCCCAGGAGGCCCCAGGAGGCCCCCTATCAGAACGTTTCAAGTTAATACACATCTGGTGCCGATTCGTTGATTTTTCCTGCTCTTGTGGCCCCCTCCCCTCCCCATTTTGGGGAGCCCCGACAGCCACATGTTCGATATCCCCCCCTGGGAGCCCCAAGAGGCTTCAGGAAGCCCCAGGTGGGGTCCAGGAGGCCACAGGAGGCCCAGGAGGAAGCCCCAGGAGGTCACCAGGAGGCCCCAGGAGGCCCCAGGAGGCCCCCGCAACTCGGAGCTCTGAGACGCCGCGCTCGAGGTGGTCCCGCCCGTTTCGCCTGAGTCTTCCTCGCAGCACGTTTCGCCCGAGACATCGTCGCAACTCTGGGGTTATAGAATGGAATGCCTGCTAGACTCTTGAAGAACTGGAAACGCCCAAAAGGCTTCAAAAAGGCTCAAAGATCACTCTGGCGTGTAAGCTTAGAAAAGGTATACAAAAAGGCTATAAAAAAGATGGGCTAATGTTGCCGACACCATGCGCAACAATTAAAGTATCCTTTGCCGCCACTTGATCAAGGCTCCTGGCAGCGGCGGTCACCGTCGCCGTAGCCGCGGCGGCCATCGTAGTCGTCGCCGTCCTCCTCGCTGCCACCGTCGTCATCGTCGCTGCCGTCATCTCGTCGTCATCGACGAGACGATGGAAGCGACGACGACGACGAAGGCGACGACAACGACGGCGACGGCGACGACAACCACGACCACCGCGGCTAGGGCGACGGCGGCGATGACAACCTCGGCCACGAGGCTTGACCCAGTGGCGGACAAGGCTGTTTGATGTTGCGCGTGGTGTCTGCAACTGCCGTCCATCTGTATCATATCATATTTGCTGCCCGCTTGGGCCTTACACGCCAGAGCCCCCTGTGAGCATGCGAGATGACTTTTGATCATTTCCAGTTAGCTGATCGTCGCCGTCTAGATAGTGACGCCCAGGGTAGGATGGGGCAGAGTAGAACGCTGTAGACGAAGGGGGGTAACGTAGGGTAGAGTAGAGAGGGGCGATGTAGTTACAAGTATAAGAAGGAAGCACACATAATGCAAGGGCAGGGCATGGCACAGTAGGGCGCATAGAAGTAGAGCAGGGTATATTATATCAGAGTAGCAGTAGGGCAAGGAAGGGTAGGATAGGTCAGGGCAGACTGGAGTTGAGTAAACTAGAATAGCAGCTAGAGCGCATAGACACCATAGTGGGCCAGGGCGGGGCAGGGCAGGGTAGAGCACGGAAACGCCGCGGACACAGGGCCAACATATAATACACCAGCGCACGTGCGATCCAAGAGGGGGGCAAGCCCAGGGAACCGAAAGGGCAATCCAGACGGTGCTAAACGCGAAGCGTCCTGGAGTAAAGCGCATCGTCGGTGCCGAAGGCGAAAGCCTCTGGTTTAAAGAACCCAAGACGGTCCCAAGACGGCCCTAAGATCCAAGACGGCCCCAAGACGGCCCTTAAGAAGCACCCATGTCTTGGAAAGCAGCCTGGCGGTGCTGAACGCGAAGCGTTAAGGGATATTGGGCACACTTCGGAGCTGAACGCGAAAGCGTCTCGATATGCGAGGATCCCTTCTCTGTGTTTTAAAGCTCTAAGGGTCAAGAAGATACCGAAACATGTCTCTTCCACTCCAGCAACAAACAAATCTGCACGTAACTGCACGCAGGACTTGTCTGCGCACTTTGGTGGATTCGGCCACCTCTCATGATAGCACTGCCAGTTGCACAAACGCTCCGAGTGTCTGCCTTTCTCCATGCAAGTGCGGCCAAAATATTGAGCTGAACACGGTCTGAAAATGATAATCAATCCGAGCCTGAGTTTGTATTCCACTACATCCGTTCACGGCCTGAAATTGAGAGTCAACCCTGCCTTGAACTTGAACGCCACTGCGCTGTGCAAGAGGGTCGGCTCAACCTTGTATAACCTGAGCTTCCCCTGTACTTTCTGGAGAGAGCTACGCAAGCTCACCTTGTTCGAAACCAGCTTATCGTCAGTGAGGCTTCTCGTGATATCGGCCATGGCTGCGATGGCAGCGCGCTGCTTTACGTTGAGCTGCGCATTCTCCACGAGTTTGCATTCGGGGTCCGCTGGTACCTGGTACTCCGAGCGCTTGGTCAAGTAGATACTCACAGCCTTTCCAACACGAGCGACGACTGTGACTACGACGACGGCGACGACGATGACGACGACGACGACGACAACGACGACGAAACGAACCGAGATTTTTGCCTCGACGGGCAGGGCAGAAATCCCCTCACAAGACGACGACGACGACGACGACGCTGACGACGACGACGGCGACGACGAAGACGACGACGACGAGTCCGAAACCTTGTTCAACTCGTCGCAAAGGTTGTACACGTCGGCGGTCGCCAGCTCCTTGAAGGTGTCTGCGATCTTGACGATGTCCGCCCAGCTGCTGGTGTCATTGACGTGCAGCTTGTAAGTGGAGTACGCGGGGCTCTGGTCCAGGGTCGACTGCAGCTTCTCCGAAGCCTCCGTCACCGCGTCCTTCCTGGCAGCCATCTTCAAACCGACCGCCTGCGTGTAATATGTCTCGGACAGGGAAACAAGCTCATTGTATGTATCTCTGAAGGTAAGGCCAACTTCGTCGAGGCTAGCGGTGATGTTCGAGATGGTGTTGGTGCAGGTGGTCAGATCCGTCTTGGCCTTCACGAAGGCCCTCCACAGCTTCTCGTTCGGATCCGCCGTGAGCACCTTCTGCATGTCGACTTCCCGCTCCTTCAGATCACCTATAAACTTCGAGAGCGCGCTCCTGAGCGACGAAGTCTTCTTAATCAAGTCCATGTGAGACGTGAGCTTCTCGCGGTCGGAGTGGAAGCTGGAAATCCTGTTCAGCACGTCGGTGTACACGTCGAACTTGTCGCCCAAGGTAGTCTGGATAGCATCCGTCTTCATCAGGAAATCCCGAAGCTGAGATACAGCGGCCTGAAGATCATCGGTAGCTGAATCCGCACTCAGACTGAGGCGCTTCACGTCGGCGTGCAAGACTGAAATGTCGATAGTCCCCTCACGGAACTTGCTCATGCTGCCGATGATTGAGGTGGTCGTGGTTTCCTGATCTACACTCTTGATGGCGTTCATTACCCTATCCTTTAACTGCGAGATGGCATCATCGAACTGGCACACCTGATAGACCTTCTCGACGACCTCCGAGTAAGACTCGAGCAACGCATGGTAACGAGTCGGGTCATTGGCAGTGTCGCCAGGGAAATCCTTCTCGAGAGCAGCAGTGGCTGCCTTGTGAATGACCTGGACCAGCGAGGTCTCGAGCATCTGGATTGGCTCAGCCCCCAACCTGGCGATGTAGTTGGGGAGACGATCGATCAGTGACTTGGCCCGCACTGGGAAGGCATTTACATCCATCGTCTTCGAAAGAGCCTCGACTTCGGACAAGTCCTGGGCGACTTGAGGCGCCAGCTCCAGGTAGACCTTCTCCCTGGAGATCACGTTCTTCAGGAGCGTCTTCCAGTGGGGCGACTGCCCCAGAGCAGCCCCGACCTGCGCCCAAGCGTCTGTGGCCCCTGCTTTGCCGCCAGCAGCCTGCAAGGTGCCGATGTCGGCGTAGGGGTCTTTCTGCGCGGACTTCCCGATGGTTTTCGAGGCTGCCGTCTGGATCGCCTCGCATATCTGCTTGACCTCGACAATGGCCTGAGCGCACTCCTCGGAGATGTCGCATTCCTCGGGGAGCTGGAAGAATACCAACAGGGCGGGATATCAAGTGCCCGGCCATGTCTGCAGCGCCCCACGTGCCTAGCATGCACTCTGAGGTGGGGCGGTTGGCCAGGGTGTCGTCTTCTGCCTGCCAGAGCGCCGCTTCGGACCACCCCTGGGGCGACGCGCGGCGCGTCCGTTCGCCGGAGCGCGCCGGACGCGACCACGGTCGCTGGTCGTTTTCTCCCACCCACCACCCTCGATGGGGGGTATGGCACCCATGTGTTTCGGCCTTCGCCCTGGCGCGCCAGCCGCGGCGGGCTGGCGGGCGGGCTGGCGTATCAGCTAGAGGCGTGCGGCCGCGGCCTCGCCCAACGCTGATTGGGTGCCGCCCTCCCCTCGGGTGGCATCGCGGTCGAACGTCGCCGCGAAGGAGACTACTGTTTTTTTGTTTCCTTTCTTTTCTTTTTGTTTCGCTGTGTGTGTGTGTGTGTCTCTCTCTCTCTCTTTCATTTCCCCCCCCCCCCCTCTCTCTCTTTCTCTCTGGCCCCCCCCCCGCTGCGCCCTGCCCCGGCGGCCCTCGCCCAAACCCCCACCCACGTCTCTCAGCCAGAGCACCGCTTCTGCGCCTCAACCCGCCGCGGCCCGCGGCGCCCTGGCCTCTCCTCGGCGCGGCTGCCCCTTCCCCCGCCCCGCACCCCAGCAAGGGCTGGACGGCGCCCACGGTGCTGCAGGCCAAGGTGGCCGCGGAGGAGGCCGCCGCCTCCCCAGGGGGGACTCTTCGGGGAGAGGCCTCCACTTCGCCGCTCCTCCTCCTCCTCCTCCTCCTCCTCCTCCTCCTCTCCTCCTCTCTCCCTCTCCTCCTCCTCCCTCCTCCTCCTCCTTCCTCCTCCCTCCTCCTCCCCTCCTCGCTCCCCTCCTCTCCCCTTTTCCTTTCACCTCCTTTTCCACCTCCTCCTCCTCCTCCACCTCCTCCTCCTCCTCCTCTCCTCCTCTTCTCCTCCCCTCCTTCCCCCACGTCATCCACCTCCTCCTCCCTCCCTCCTCCTCCTCCTCCTCCTCCTCCTCTCCTCTCCTCTTCCTCCTCCTCCTGCTTTTCCTCCACCTCCTCCTCCTCCTCCTTGTCCTCCTCCTCCTTGTCCTCCTCCTCCTCCTCCTCCTCCTCCTCCTCCTCCTCCCCCTCCCTCCCCCCTCCTCTCCTCCTCCTCCCCTCCTCCTCCTCCTCCTCATCTCCTCTCCTCCTCCTCCTCCTCCTCCTCCTCCCTCCCCCCCTCCTCCTCCCCCCCTCCTCCACCTCCTCTCCCTCCCTCCTCCTTTCCTCCTCCTTCTCTTCCTCCTCCTCCTCTCCTCGTCCCCCTCCTCCTCCCTCCTCCTCCTCTCCTCCTCCTCCCTCCTCCTCCTCCTCCTCTCCTCCTCCTCTCCTCCTCCTCCTCCGCCTCCGCCTCCTCCCTCTCCTCCTCCCCCATCCTCCTCCCCCTCCTCCTCGTCCTCCTCCGCCCTCTCCCTCCCCTCCTCCTCCTCCTCCTCCTCCTCCTCCTCCTCCTCCGCCTCCTCCTCTTCCTCCGTCTCCTCCTCCTCATCCTCCTCCTCCTCCGCCTTCACGGGTCCTGAGGTCTTCGCCGTTTTCGAGCTCTCGGTGCCCTCCACGGGCCTTTGGACCGTACACGACTCGGGATGAGGAGCTTGTCCTGGGGGAAGGCCAGGGGGCCCATGGCCCGTTTCCCTCAGGACCCGTGTCGCCCCACAGGGAGTTCCACCGAATGCCCCAGGGCACAGGCCGCACGCGGGGACCGCCTCCCATTTTGGCACATCCTTCACACGGCTCGTGGCCCCACAGGGAGCTCCACCGAGGGCCCCAGTGACACAGGTCGCATGCGGGGACAGCCGCCCATTTTGGCACATCCTTCACATTGTTCGTGACCCTACAGGGAGCTCCACCGAAGGCCTTAGGGGCACAGTCCGTATGCGGGGACCGCCACCCATTTTGGCACACCCATCACGCGGTTCGTGGCTCCACAGGGAGCTCCACCGAAAGCGGCACCCACAGTGCGGTACTCGCAGCTGCATGTGGTTGGGCCCTTCGCCAGGCCAATTTACAGCCGTCCTGTGCTGTTGAGCCCTCGTGTTGAAAAGACAGCGCCCCGCGTCCTCCTCCCCTCCTGCCCCTCCTCCTCCTTCCATGCCTGCCTCTGCGGCCTTTGCGCCTCGCGCCCGTCGGAGTTCGGCGCGCCCATCGCGCGCCGCTTGGCCCCGAACTCCACCGAAGGTCCCTGCGGCGCAGGTCGCATGCGGTCCCGCCGCTATCAATTTCGGCGCACCCTTTCGCGCGCTTCGTGGCCCGTGAAGGGGCTCCACCGAAGGCTCCAGTGGCGCAGTTCGCACGCGGTCCCGCCGCCAAGTTCGGCACACCCCTCGCACGGTTCGCTGCCTCATTGGGAGCTCCACCGACGGTCCAGATGGCGCAGTCCGCACGCGGTCCCGCCACCAAATCGGCACACGCTTCACACGTTTCGTGACCCCCTAAAGGGGTTCCACCGAGGGTCCCAATGGCGCAGGTCGCATGCGGTCCTGCCGCCAATTTCGGCACACCCCTAAACGTTTCGTGGCCCCTCAGGGAGCTCCGCCGAAGGTCCCAGTGGCGCAGTTCGGATGCGGTCCCGCCATACATTGCGGCACAGCCCTCACACGTTTGGTGGCCCCATAGGGAATTCCATGGAACGTTCCGGTGGCACAGTTCGCATGAGGTCCCGCCACCCGTACACCTCCCACACGTTTCGTGGCCCCATCGTGGGCTCCACCAAAGGTCACAGTGGCGCAGTTCGCATGCGGTCCCGCCGTCCATTTGGGCACACCCGTCGCACGTTTCGTGGCCCCACAGGGTTTTGTATTATCGAAGGCCCCACCGTCACAGTTTGCGTGTGCCCCCCCCCGTCACACTCGCTTCGTGGCCCCATAGGGAGCCCCGCCGAAGGTCCCAATGGCGCAGCTCGCATGCGGTCCCGCACCCACTTCGGCACACCCCGTGACACGTCTCGTGTCCTCATAGGGAGCTCCATTGAAGGTCCCAGTATGCATCTTCAGATGTGCTCCTCCTGTGCGTCCCGTACCCAGGCTTGCAAATCACCCCAGTGTCTCGTTCAGTCATTCTTCGCGCGCGTTACCAAGCTGCTTGCCTCAAACCCCGCCATCGTGCCAGCCCAGCATCATGGGTGGCTGCTGTTTGAAGGGAGCGCGGAAGGCAGTCACGTGCGACACTTCGTTCACCCATGGCTGAGGGAGCCGTGATGAGGACGATGTGGGTATGAACATGATGCGGGCAATGAATGAGCAAAAGGATGAGCAGGAGAGGGGGAACCGGAGGAGGAGGAGGAGGGCGAGGACGAGGAGGAGCAGGAGCATGATGATGATGATGATGATGATGATGCTGATGATGATGATGATGATGATGATGATGATGCTGATGATGATGATGATGCTGATGCTGATGATGGTGATGATGTTGATGATGATGATGATGATGATGTTGATGATGATGCTAATGGTGATGATGGTGAGGATGCTGCTGCTGCTGATGTTGATGATGCTGGTGATGATGATCATGACGATGCTGCTGCTGATGATGATGATGTTGATACTGGTGGTGATGATGATGAGGAGGAGGAGGAGGAGGAATAGTAATACTAGGAGCATGAATGCGACAATTAGTCATTCTGCGAATTTTAATACTGATACCACTAATAAGAACAAGCATGCCGATACTGATGATTCAGATCGTACAAGTATTATGAAGAGTACGAAGACGACTACGACATAGACGACTACTAGTACGAATTCATCATAAGACGAATCCGACCACGAAGACTAGTAATACAACACATGATGCTAATACTAAGAATATTAATCATACGAAGACTAGTAAGACGAAGGAGGAGGAGGAGGAGGAGGGGTACGAAAAGGACAAGGAGGCCGAGGAGGAGGAGGAGGAGGACGAGGCGGGGGAAAAAAAACTGGACTGGACTCTTCGAGGTGCAAGGCTGAGCCTTGCAGCCACGAGTGCTCGAGGGCGGACCCAGCACCGCCCAGCGGCACAGGGCCCCCCTGGCAACCAACATGCCAGAACGACCAACTTGAAGCAGGAGGAGGAGGAGGAGGAGGAGGAGGAGGAGGAGGGAGCAGGAGGAGGAGGAGGGAGCAGGAGGAGGAGGCGGAGGAGGAGGAGGAGGAGGAGGAGGAGGAGAAGGAAGAGGAAGAAATGGAGGTGGAGGTGGACAATGGGCAGGGAGGTGGAGGAGGAGGAGGAGGAGGAGGAGGAGGAGGAGGACCCTTGCCGGTTACACCCGACGTCTTCATTTCTGGACGAGTTTCAGTGTTTCTGTGCGGCAGTGTTGAGCCGTCTCGGGGTCGCCTTGGGACTCTCTTGGACCGTATCGGATTTTCTCGGCTGCGTGGGAAGTGTGTTCGGGCCGTCTTGCCACCGTCTTGGGCCGTCGAAGGAAATTCCTCCTCAGGCCGTCCTGGGTATCTCCGAATGCTCTCTCTGGCGGTCTTTGTGCCGTTTCGGAAGCTTGTTTGGGACCCCCTTTTGGAGTCCTTCTTTGGTGTCGTGTTGGTGGTTTGGTTTGCCTTCTCCAGCTGACGGATGCCCGAAAAGGCGAGAATGCCAAAAACTGTCGAACCTTTTGGGATCTACGTCTTTGCCGTCGTCGTACTGTGCCGCGGGTTCTCCCTTCCTCACCCTCCCCTCTCCGCATCTCCCCGATTCGTCGTTTGTCTTGTTCCCTCTCCCATTTTGAGCGGCGTTCGGGCGACTTGCCCTCTGTCGCTCGCGCGGCCCCGGTTTTCCCACCACCGTGGGCGAGGCCCTGGACCTGGCCACGGCCCTGGACAACGACGGCAGCACTCCGCTCTTCTCTGGAGGGGCAGGGCGTCGTGCACTCCGGGTGCCCCTGGGCGTCGTAGACCTGCAGCTGGCACTCTTGGTGTGACACCTCCTCTTTGATCACCTTCTTTGCTTCTTTGCAGCCGGC